CGACAGCCGGCCTCCGCTGTTCGCCGGCAGGCAGCAGGAGGAGACGGATTCCGCTGCAACATCAATTTCTAGCTGCTGACAGTCGGCCCCTCGCCAGCTGACTCTAACTTTTTGAAAGGGCACGGCCACTGGTCATCAGCTGGATGGAGAGGGGAGCCTGGAGAGGCAGCCCACCCGGAGCAGGGGGCCAGCCGGCCACACACCACGCCCGTGGAAGCTTCAGCCCACCCCAGAGGCTCCGAACTGACTGCTCAGACCTGTGCCCAGGCTTTGGCACACCTGGGGACATTTAAAAACTCCCAGGCAGCCAGCTTGAGCCGGTAGCTTAGGGAACAGGGAACAGAGAAAGGGCAGCTAGCAAAATCAGGAACAGTATTTATTTGATTACTAAACAAAAACGAGCAACCATGAATCATACTGTTGCTAAACTCAAAGCATCAAGAAACTACACAGGTACGAACACTTCCACACTTCCGGAAAAGCCCACAAAATGTATTTTCAAAAGACTAATGCGTATGCCTGAGGCAGACACCAGTGGAGATGAGCACACCACATAAAACAGCATCAAAAACGAGAGCTACGGTTTATTTAGCACTCGCCCATTCCGGAAGTGCTCACTGAACACCCGTCCCACTGAGCACAAGCCCCTGCCGCTGGCGCAGGGACAGAAGGCAGACGGTCCTCTCAGGCAAGGCGCTCTGGAGACGGCAGAACAGACTACCGTGAGATGCAGAGATGACACAAAAACTACACAGCCTGCTTTCCCACACGAAGAGAAGTTATCTTTAGACCCTCCCTCTTATTTGCATTTATACTATAATTTTAAATGTCCCCTTCCTTCAAGTTGACCGCTGGAAACCAGTCACCAAGAGCTATGGATTGGACACCAGCTACCCTGACTTAACCACCTTTGCTTTTCTCATAACCACTGTTGACAGTCTATAAACGACAGTTTGTGGACCTATAATTTTTACAAAGGGCGCTTTAAAGACAAAGGGATAGATGTAAGTATCGCACTTACACCAAGTTTCAGCGGCACAAGTCAACATCAGTCATTTAATTAACAACCCCAATCAGCAACCGTACCCTGAGATCAGAGGAGCGCCCGTAGACCCAGGCCCCCACTGAGTGACACTGTAAGTAGGTGCGCCTCCTCTTAGAAATCATTAAAGTAAGGAACCAGCGGTACACAAGATGGACCACACAACCATGAGCTGCAACAGGTGCGCACTGTACAGCCATCTACCTTGTACAACAATTTAAAAACTGCTTTTTTATGGAAAAGTAGGAGAAAGAGATCCAGAGTCCTGGAAAACCTGCACTGAAATTCTGGCTTCATGTTTCTTCCAAGGGGGTCTGGGTGCGTGAGTCCATCTCAGCATCCCCACTGGCACCGGTCCTGCCTCCTCCCGGGCAAGGGTGAGCCGCAGACGGGCTCCTCCTACAGGGAAGGGGGCGGGGGCCAGCAGCTCTCCGGCTGCCCTGTCTCAGGTGCTGGCCAGCTTCGCCACGCAGCACCCTCGCCGCAGCATATTCAGATCCCTGGAGGCCTGAGCCCGTCCGGCAGGAATGAGCCCCTTTGATGTCTGACCCCTGGACAGATGCGTCACCTCTGAGGATCTGCTGGCATCACTGCCCAGCCTCCTCCTGACTCTTTCCCACGTGCAGAGATGAGCTCTCTCCAGAGTAAGCTCATGCTGACAGCCAGCGCCAGCCTCTGCAGGGACTCACTACTGCCAGAGAGGAAGGGGTTCCACAACATGCAGAACACTCAGGCTCGAGCAAAAGGAAGTGCCAAATGAACCCCGTCTCCTGCCAAATTCCTGGTCCACCCCCCTCGGAAAGCAATCTGCCAAGACGGAGCCCACAGCCAGTGGAAGGCCAGGGGCTCTGGGCACACTCCCCACTAGCTGGCTGTCCTGCCCTTCCTGACACCGGGAACCCCCCAGCGCTAGTGTCACCCCGCCTGCACCGCGGAGCTCCGCCCCACAGGCTCGTGCTGGCCTCCGCTGACTCAGCGTCCTCCACACCCACGTCCCAGGAGGGTTTCTGAGGGACACACCGGCTGGGTTTGATTTTTCTTTTTTTAAATGATGAATGTATCTTCCACAATCTCCGGTTTTCAAACACAAACCTATGGAGAACTCCCACCTCAGGTGTATAATTCCTTCTGACATGTTCTCCTGTGTGTAGACACGTGTGCATACTCAGCTCCGCTCCCACAGGCTGGCCGGCAAGGCTGGGGCCACAGCGAGTCTCACTCAGGCCTGAGGTGCCTCTGCTGTAGGGAACCGGCCTCCCCGTGGCCCCAGGAGAGTCTGCTGCCCGCGGGACCTTCCCAAACACATGCGTAAAACGGTGCACAGAAGCTTTCAGGTTCCCTGCAACAGGCTTAGGTGTGGCCGACCACGGCAGGGTCGTGGGAGACCCAGGGTCCCCTAGACTCCTGCCAGGCCGTCACACAGCAGTCCAAGCACCGACTGACTATGTGCCAGGCTGTGCAAGGCAAGACACAGGCGGCCACGGCCGCAGCTCTGGTGGGGAGGGCGTCCGCGAGCGCCAGGTGAGGCCAGAGAGCTGAAGGCACCTCGGGCAGAGCTCCCTCCCAGGCCCTAGGCTCCTCAGAGCCCCACCTCCATGGCCAGGTCCCACAAGGGGCAGCAGGTGCCCTGCGGCAGTGATCGGGGTGGCCCTCAGCCCCTCGCCGACCGGCCCTCCAGCCGGTCCTGCGGCCTCTCCTTCAAGATCAGCCCAGCCACCTCTACCGCCCCAAGATCCAGGCACGTCATCTCCCCCAGGGGATGGGGAAGGGTCTCCCGACAGGTCTCCCTGCGCTCGCCCGCCCCGCACAGCTGGAGGGTCCTCCTAAGCTTTCTCCTCCTTAAATCAGATCAAATCCCTCCTTGGATCCAAACCCTCCCCTGCCTCCCAGTTCACTGAGTAAAAGCCGAAAGGCTCCTGAGGACCCGGAGGGCCCTGCACCGGCAAAGCAGGAGGAGGTGTTCTGCCACTGCGACATCCACACACAGACGCCAAGTGTCAGGACAAAGACCCTCCCTGCCCTCCAGACACCCCACGGCTCCTCCTACCTCCAGGCTTGTTCTGGGCACTCCTACTGCTCAGACCACCCCACCTCCACCCCACACACACCGGGTCGTTTCGGTTTTGGATATAGCACGCAGCGTGACCGCCTCTCTCCTGTGGGTGGGGTGGGGGCACACGTGGGGACTCAAACCCTTGCTGAGGGACAGGAGGACGCAGGTGCTGGGCAGACGGCAGCAGACTGTGCCCGCCAGCAGAGCGCACTGAGGGGCCCCCACGGTGCCAGGCCGCCTCCCCGCCCCCGCCGTGGGTCTGCACCATGCCCAGTAGGCCTCCCCCGTGGGTCTGGGGTGCCACGTGCGCCCCTCACAAACGTCTCCCCTGAATCACAGCCCATATTTCATGTCAGTCTGACTTCTCCAACCTGGATTCCAAGCCAGTTTGTTCAAAGCAGACCCCCACGTGCATAGATGCAGCCCTCAGCTTACCCTCAATACTCGGGTAGGTGATCAAAAAGGAGTTCCCCCAGTGGCGGCCCCTGGCGGAGCGGGTGTGAGACTTGGAGAGGGGCACACACTCTGCACAGCCAGAGCGTGAAATGGGGCGTCAAGCTGCACTTGTCTGCCCCAAATGCACCTGGGGCATGAGGAACTGTCAAAACCCAAACCAACTCATTTTTCCTTAATTTCTACCAGAGCTGAAGAAGAAGAGAACTCCTCACGGGCTTGTGGGCCAAGCAACTCGCCAGATGTTGTTGGGGGGCGGGCACGGAGGGGAGGGACTCGCGTGGGCAATGGCACGGGGGCGGCACGGCCTGGGCATAACCTGCAGCAGCCCGGGAGAGCCAGCCTGCCCAGGAGTGGAGTGAACCCCAAGACGCCACACACACCTCACCAGCTACTGAATGGGCAGGACCCGCCGGGAACGGCCCTGCAGATCTGCCGTTAGAGACGCGTGTAACCTGTGCCTCTGGGCGAGCCTTCCAAACACGCCTGCCCTGCGGTCCCTACAGCGCAAAGCTGGTCCCCATACAAAGTCCGCCACAAGCTGTGCGGGGAGTTCAGGACATGAAGGAAATGTTCCAGAGCTAAACCCAGTGACCACATGAGCACCCAGCTCAGGCTGGCTGCAGTGTCAGGAGGCACGAGTGAGCGGTGACTGTCTCCAGGGCTGACAACGGCCACCGCCTTGTCTGGAAGTCGCACAGAAGCTCTTCCCGGTGCCCCTCCCCGTAAGAGCAGAAGAGAAGCGGCTCCCCCTCTTGCGGTGGGCCCCCGGGGACCGCAGGCAGGTTAGACTGAGAGCATTTTCTTGCAGACAACAGTGAATTCTGTTTTCAGTTTAACCTGCAACAGTTGGAGACTCTGTCTGGAATCCATTATTAATCAGTCAAAAGAGAAGCCTTATTTTCAGCTGCCGACTGAGTCAGGTGCCTTCAGCACCACGCCCTAACTGGCAGTGCAGCTAACTGCCACAGTCGTGGGCACGCGGTGGGAAGGTAGAGAGTGAGGAGCAAGGCAATCCCACTCTGCCGTCAGCAAGGCACGGACCTGCCCCACCGAGGATGGCGCCCAGGACCACCTGAGGCCCTCGGGTGTGCCCGGTGAGGTGGCATGTGAGCCACACCCTCCTGGCTCAGCAGGCCAAGCTGTCTGGTCCTCTGCCACGCCCAGGTCTGGGGGACAGCGGAGCCCCTCCAGCACCTCAGGGTGTGGGGGTGTGGGCAGAGGCAGGCAGCCCCTGGCCTTCCCCGGAGAGCAGCGCCCCGTGAGCCTGCAGCTGACCCTCTGGCAGGGGCGTGCCAAGGCCTGAGGGAGCACGGCCAGGCCATGACTCTGGGGACAGAGGAAGGCGGGCCTGGGCGCTGGACCTTGGTCTTGGGGGCCCAGGAGGCAGGGGGAGAGTTGGCTGTACTGGCAGTACGACACACCCCCAGCAAGCTGCCCAGCATCTCCCACCTCGGGCTGCGCGGTCACAAGTGAGGCAGGGCTGGGACCCGTCGCCATTTGGGCGGGAGGCCGGCCCCGGGTGCAGCAGGAAGGGGTGGCGCTGGCTCAGCGACTGCAGCTCCTCGCTCTGACCCAGCGGGGCCCCCGTGCGGTGCTGGGGACACAGCGAGGCCTCGGGTGCTGCAGGGCAGGGACACACACACACACAGAGAGAGACAGGCTGTTAGCGGGAGAGGGCGCGGCCAGGCCAGGCAAGTGAACAGCCAGGGACCCCGTCCTGACCCTCCACATGCAGCTCAAGCTCAAGGTCGCAGGGGACCACACTGAGGGAGCTCAGAGAGGGGGCCTCATGGTGGCAGAACCAAGACCGGGCCACCTGGATGCCCAGGCTCTGGCGGCCCTGCCCTGTCCCTGCAGCTGGAACACCCTCAGGCTGACAGAGGGGACATGGCTTCAGCACCTCGCTTCTGCCCTCTGGCCTGGGGACCATGACTGCAAAAGGCTCGTGGGGAGGAGAGCAGCCCCCGAAGCTGGGGCCTTAGGCTCAGACGCAGCCACTTCCGAGGAAGGGCCTTCCTGGGGTGGAGGGGCTCCCTGAGGGAGTCCTGCGGCCTCACTTCCCCAGGGTGGTCTTCCTTCACTGGGGGGAGCCCCCAGAGCCCATTTCCTCCAAGGGGTTTCACGAAGGTCACAGCCTTTGCCTCAGCAGAGGAGCTCAAGCCAAGCGGGGAAACAGCAGTAACCACAAGAGGAACAGGAAACACCAACCTCTGTGACAGAAACTCAGGATCCCTAGAGGTAGGGAGTCTGAACCTACTACGCAATCTCCCGCTCGACCGGGTTCTCAAAATGCAGCAGGTGGCGGGACATCACCAAACCGAGACCTGCCGGAGCGGGAACCAGCAGCACGTGGTCTGGCAACTGAGCCAGGTCGACAAGGGCTTGTCAAACTGTTAGCAACTCCCTTTATAACAAGTTCACTCTTGTGCTGAGTTACTGATTCCAAAAACAAAGGGTATGGGGACCTGCACTTTTGTTCTTACAGCAAAAAGATTAAATTTCCGCATCCCCACTCCAGGCCACAGGGCCACCTGTCTCGCCTCTGCACTGCGAAGGCAGAGGGGCACCCTTCCAGGGACGGTACCACTCGACCACCAGGATGGCAGCATGGCTCAGGCCCTGAGACCCACTTCTGACCCCTGAAGTCTCCCGATTGCTGGACGAAGACCCAGAGCAACTGACGTGCAAAATAAGACAACAGAGCAGCACCCACACACACAAACCAGCACAGACCCAGCCGGGCAACTGAGCGGCCCACAGGAACGCCCTCCCACCTGAGGCAGCAGAGATGCTGAGCAGGTCAGGAGACCCACAGCACAGCCACTAGAAAGACACTGAATTTGACACTGAAGGAACCAGGTCACCCTGAACAGCCAGGACCCCTGCTGTGCAGCAGGCCAGCCCCTCACTGCAGGAGGCAGCAGGAGGCCTGCTTCGAGGCCACTGTACAGAGGCAAACCCCAGTGCAGTGGAGGGGCTCCAGACCCCCAAGCCAGAGCAGCCCAGGGGCCAAAAGCCCCTCGGTAACCATGACTCCAGGCAGGTCGAGGGCACTGCCGCCTGGGCTGCCAGAGGCTCGTGCGGAGGAGGCCAGGCCACGAGCCCTGGGCCCGCGCGGCGCTCGGGCCACTACTCACAGCCATGGTAGGAGGCGGGCGACCCCCCGGCCTTGCCGTACTCCTGCTCTGAGTAGCTGGTGGAGAGGTTGGGCTGGCTGGAGCCTCGGCCGAATGAGATCTGGTTGCTGCCCATGCTGGTGGCCACCTGGGCCATGCGCTCCTTGGTCTTGAGGGCCTGGGCCCGCTCAGCCTTCAGCCGCTCCTCATCCCTGAGCAGCGCCACCAGCTGCTTGGACTTCTCACGCACGTTGATGCCCTGGTCCTTGCCGTCACGGTCGACATACTGGAAGTCCTTCAGGGTCTGGATGGCGAAGATGTTCTCGCGGCACTGCTGGGCCACGCGCTCAGAGCCCGTCTTGACGAGGTAGTCGAGCAGCGTCAGCGCCTTGTACACGTGCCGCCAGTTCCGTCCGTGGTCGTTGAGCCGCCGCCACACCATGCTCATGATCTCCGAGAAGGCCACCACGTTGTAGGTCAGGTCCGCGATCTCAGTCATCAGCGAGCTGGACGGGCCCCACGGGTCATTGGAGGTGGCTTCCCGGACTTTAACCTCGGCTTCCGAGTAATTGTTCACGATGTTTTTCATCTGCCGCCTGATGGACGAAGTCGTCATCTTGACTTCCTTTGTTACAAACGCAAAGCTCTTCAAAGAGAGAAGCTTCCCTGTCCCAGGCAGGCTCGTGTCCCAAGAAGGTCCAGGCTCTGTAACAGGTCTGGGGCAGGGTCCCTGGTGGTCATTGCCTCTGCTGGAGCCTCAGGTCCCACAAGCTGGACGCCATGACCTGGGGAAAGAAAGAAAGACAAGCGTTCACTTGCAGGCGCCCCTCCGAGGCGGCAGGCGTGTTATGAACAGCAGCGCTGGTCCACCGGGGCGATGAGAGGACGTCTGGCCCGACAGGGACCCGCGCACCTAACACGGTAAGGATGTTCACCCACAGCCACTCTCACACTCAAAAGGGACAAGAGCGCAGCTCCTCCCAACAGCTTCTCCAGCTCCAAAAGCAAACACTTGTCCACGTCGCTGGTGGCACTCAGATGCCCCTAAGGCCCAGGGGCCTCCCAGCACTTCATCTGTCACCCCACCGTGCGGCCAGCAGGAATGCCTGCCCCACTTCCCGGGAGCACAGCAGGTGGAGCTGGGACCCAGTGCCGAGGACATCCGGCCGACTTCCCCCGGGTCAGGAGGCAGCTCCCATTAAACAGTCAGAACAAACGGTCCTGGTAAAAAGGACATGAATGATCAGAACTATAATGAAAAGAATCAACTTCCTTAGGAAGAAAGGATGCGTGGGACTCTGCTGACTGGCCTCCCGGCCTCTTGTCCGGCTGCTTGGGTGGTGCCCAGGACAGCTGGAGCCCGTGCCCTCCCAGCGAGAGGCCATGAGGACTGGCCAGGGCACCCCCGAGCCTCCGAGGCCCCTGGTGCTAAAGAAAAGGCAGCAATTCATGTGCGTGAAGGCTGGGGCTCTGCCCTCCCGGACACCGCAGAGAGGGCTGCGGCCCCCGCAGAGACACCTGCTGTCAGTCTGTCTGAAATAACTAGGCTTTGAAGCTAAGAAAATTTGTCATGGTCAGAAAAAATACACCAAGGCCATAAACCACCTGCTATTCTCCCAAAGCCACAGAGAGACCCAGGCCCAGAGGCGGCGAGAAGGGTGGACAGGGTGCACGTCTCTTGACGGGACAGGGGCCCAGAAGGCACCTCCGAGGAGCCACGTTCAGGGCCAGTGGGCCAGGTGCCCCACCCAAGTCCGCCAGAGACCACTTTAAACCTCCCCTCCCACCTCAGGACTGGGCCGCAAACGCGCTGCACTCCTGCGGGGCGCCCCTCAAGTGCAGGCCGGGGACCTGAGTTCTGTTCTGTTCTCACTCTTTTTCGCACAGCTTGCCTGCTCGCTGCCCGCACTGCCCTCCTCAGGCTGCCAGCACCCCTGCTTGCTCACGGCGCCTGCACCCGGGACTGCGGAAACAACGGGAGCCCCATCACCTCCGGGCCCGACGATGATGATGTCAGCTGGCCTGCGACACTCACCACTGCCAGGCCCGGCAAAGGCCCTCGGCAGCTCTGGAGACGCCACATCAAGGGCCAGGCTATTCGATGTGGAAGGGACACTCCCTTTACTACAGTCAGTCCCCAGCAACAGGGATGGTTCCTGAAGCCAAAGGCCACTTCAGCTCCGTGCCAGAGATGCGACCTGTTGTTTCTGCCTGTGCTGTTCCCACACCCCTTGTCTGGGAAGGAGCCTCGGCCGCTGGCAGGGAGTGGTTCCAGCAGGGAGTGGCCCAGCCCATCAGAACACTGCTGGAAGCCCCCACGGAGCTGGGGTTCACCTAGGGTGAAGCCGACGCAGAAGCCAGCATGGAGCCCAGGGACAGAGCCGGAGCAGGACAGGACACCATTTGAGCCCAAAGGCCCACCTGCACCTGAAGCCACTCACCCCGCACTCGGCTGCGGGAGCCAGCGCAGTCTTGTGTCACCTGCGGCCGCCTGCTCTCCTGTCTCAGGCAACAGCGAACGGCACATGTGCAGCATGGGCCCCCCCAGACCTCAAGCAGGGGCTCCAACCAGGCCCCTCAGCCACAGCTGACCCGCGCCCAGGCCACCCGAGCAGCTGCGTCCTCACCCCTCAAAACGCAGGTGCCCCGCCAAAGTCCGGGTTGTCACTCTTTAGCTGGTAATGGTGACCGTAAAGTAACAGCTGAGTCACTGCATTTGCCGAGGACAGGCTGGGGCAGAAAAATTCTGGCATATCTGAAAACACAACTAGAATTCAACAGTGGGGACTGGACAGAGACTGAATAAAACAGCAACTAGAACAAAACTGAAAACACAAACAAAAAATTCCAAGGCCAGAGTGATGCCCCTGGAGGCAAGAAGAATTCCATAAACAGGGCCTGCAGAGCTGGGTGGGGAAATTCCTTCCAAGTCTAGAGTCCTCAACACAGAAGAAGAGGCTCTCCAAGGCTGGAGCAGCCAGGTGGGTCCCTGGCCAAGGCCCCCGTGTGTCTGGGCAGTCATGCTGTGCTACACGGCACGTGGCCGGCTAAGTGTGGAGAGGACGTACCCTGTCAGTCAGGGTCTCCAACAAACCCCCCCAGAGATTCTGGTGGCTTTTCAGGGATCAGGGACCATCCTCAGGGACCAGGGCTAGCTTCAATGGAACAGCACCCTCCCCCACCCCCCAAAACCCAAAGTCACAGGTCAGCCAGCACTGATGGTGATCATCTTGTCACTATCAACAGATGTCACTGCACAACTTGATCTGGAAATCCTCCCCGCAGGTGGTAGCTCCCACCTCCTGTGTCTGGCAGCCTCCTGTGACTTTCTCAAGGCAGGTGACAGGGAGCATGAGGGCTGGGCTGCAGCCACCTCCCCTGCAGCGGTACACAGAGCTGCGAACACAGAATCGCGCTGAAGAGATGCGACAGCCTTTTCAAGCTCCGTGGTGACGTCCGGGCACACTGAAATGAGGGCCACAGGTCACTGAGTGACAGTCACAAATGCTAATCTGTGAACCACTGGGCCTCACTTGTCTGTGCGAGGGGCAAGAGCGAGGACACAGCCCCTCCCCGCCACGGACAAGGTGCTGTGGCCCCCCTTAGAGGCTCTGCCTGGGAGGCCCAGACCATGGCCCGCGTGGCCACCGTAGCGGTAGCACTGGGACAGCTGGGACAGTGCGGCTCTCCTCTCCAGTGACCATTCGCCCAGAGAGAAAGCATGGCTGAGAGCAATAACCTAGTGCCCGACGCCACGCTGCCGCCGGTGCAGGGAGACAGCCTGCACACCTGCCGGGGACGTGAGGCTCGGCCAGAGAGGGAAGCGCCCGCCTCACTGACAGCGCATCCGCATCCCGATGACTCCTCGGGGGAGAAACCAGATTTCCTCTCTCCCAAAAGTGACTTCAAAAAACTTTACACTCATATACTTCAAGAAGTTCAAAAACAAACATTCGAAGCTTAACTTCCAGATGATAAAGCAGGTACCATGAAACTGCTCACGAACCCCTCTCCGGCCACAGCGGGGACTGAAGGCTCCGCCCCCGTGTTGGACCACCCCTGTCCCCCTCTACCAAAGGGCCACTGGGGCCTCTCCCCAGACACAGCAGTCTTGGAGAGTTCAAATCCCACATCAGCCTCCTATGACTGCGTGTCCGTGATTCTTCTAAAAGCAGAAACAAAGCACTGAGCACACACATGCAGAACCTCGTTTTTCTTCACCAGTGTGGCCCACCATTTGGTCTCCGGGAACGCAGATTACACAGGTACTGAAATGTGGTCATCTTAAAGATGGTGTGAAGCAAGGACGGGGTCAGGAGGCATGTTCTGGCCAACCCCCAGTCACTCAGAAGTGGGGGTGGGACAAGCCGCGCCTCCCTAGGGGTCAAACTCCTGCATAAAGAACAAAGAACCCCAATGCTCCCCACCTCCCCCACTCCTCAAAGTAGTTTTGCAAATGCCTGATCACGGGCAGCACTCTTCAAAAATCATGCCAAAGAGCAAACAGCACGGAGACCAGAGCACACAGACCCGGGAGCACACAGACCCGGAGCACACAGACCCGGGAGCTGGGAAAGCAGGGCTCCAGGCCAGGCTGGGACCAGCCTCGTGCTCCTGAAGGGACAGGGTGGGCCAGATGCTCTGCCAAACCCTTCGGTCCCCAGGCCCCTTTGTGACAACTGGCTCACGCCCAGCGATACCAGCTCCAGCCACAGGTCTGCCACGCGGAGGCTGGGATTCTGGGAACAAGCTTAGCGGTGGCTGTCCCTCTCAGCCGGCCAGTGGGGCTCCAGCTGGGCAGGAGGGCAGGGCCCCCCGTGGGCCTTGGGATGCACAAGAACTCGACCCTCCTCCGAGGAAGGCAGTGTGCATGTGTGCCCCTGGGTCAGTATGCAGTCTACACGTCGTGACTCTGCTGCCAGAAAAGCCCGGTCATGGCAGACGGCTACGCCACCCAGAGGCTGGGGGTCACAGAAGGGGCCTCTGATGGCTTCACACCCACCCCGCCCCACAGGGCAGGCCCGGTGATGGATGACAATTTGATCAGTACAGTCTCCCAGCTTGACATCTTTGGGGGAAAAAAGCAGAGCTACATGGAAAAATTCAGAATTCCCATGATTTCATGCTTAATTTAGAGCTGGCTGGTCACCGTGGTGGCGCCCAGTGCTGGGCTCTCGCCATGTCCCGAGGAGCCAGTGGGAGAGCGGAAGCCAAGTGGGGGCCGTGGGCCCCGTGGCCAGAGCCCCACAGGCCCAGTGTCAGGCACAGCAGTGACCGGACACTCTTCTCAAAAGGAGCTCAAGATGCTGCCCAGAGGAACTGCAGGCAGGAAGCAGGTGTCTCCACGCCGTGCAAGCACGAGACCACGAAAAGGAGTGGCGTGCTCACCTCTGCCCTTAACCCAGCAGACCTGGGAGGTCGCGCCTCTCCCCACGCAGCTGTGGAGGAAGGCGGCCCCTCAGACTTCAGACAGTGACGGCTGACGTCCACTGAACTCCACAGGTGGGCCTTGTCCCCAGCCCGACCCCGCAGGCCCCGAACGGAGCACTTCAGCAAAAGGTCAAAAGATAAGCCTCACCGTCCAAACTTCAGGAGGTTAACTCTTCCTGTGCTGCCAGTGTGCTGCACCCCTGTCCCAGTCACTTCCCTGCCGACTGGGACAACCTGGGCCCCCGTGCTGCTTCCTCTGCCCGCCAGCCTCCCACTCGCTGGGACTGTCACCACACTGGCTCTCTCCTGCCATTCTAGATCCCAACTAAAACATCGCCTCCTGGGAACCACCGCTCACTCTTAAGTCACCAGCTTTAATTTTTGGCAGAGCCCCTCTGTGTGGGACATTTTGTTGCCCACATATCTGCTGGCTGGTTCACCTCCTAGGCCCCCAGGCCCCATAAGAGCCCGGCACCATTCATGCCTGATTCGGGGTGAGCGCTGACCGGTGCTGAGTGGAGGAGCAGGGGGAAATGAGAGTAAAAGCTGCGTCCCCGGTCCCGTCTGCTCGCGACCCAGAGTTCACACCTTGGGACCAGGCTCCGCTGAGTTCCCCCCTACGCCTTCACCGCTCGGGTCAGAACAGCTGCTCTGCTCTACGTTCTGTCTGGTGACACAGCACCCAGGACAGGAGGGACACGACTGCACCAAGTGAGTGCTTAGCACAGAGGAACCGCCAGGCCGGACAAGGGGCAGCACGGCTGCCTGGGCTCCAGAGCAGCCATCCAGGGTGGCAAGCAGGGGCTCAGATGGGGTTCCCCACCCCCGACCCCCGGATCTGTGCCCCGCCTCCCTAGCTGGGCGTCCAGGGGCCAGGGGGCAAGCTCCAGAGCCCCCACCTCAACACCTGCCTTAATGGAGGTGCGCACAGTCGCTGCCCGGCGCTGCCAGGAGGCCGGGCCTCGAGGGGCTGGTGCAGAGTGGCGTCCAGACACTGGCTTCCTCTGCCCAGCCGCGCCAGCATGTGTCCACGAGGATGTTTCTCAGCACTCCCTCAAGGACAACTCCAGGGCAGCGTCCAAGGCAGGGCGCAAAGCCTACAGAGCACCAAGGGGCTCCGTGGAGAAGGTGCTGTAGGGAAGGCGCCTGCAGTTCGGTAGGGGTGTCACCCCCAAGCCCCTTTCCGACCACACACAACACAGTCACCAGCCCCACTCTTCTCCTGTGCGGCTGGCACTTCCGAGGAAGGTCTCAGGTGTGCTAACCCTTTGACGCCAGCAGTAATCGTAAGAGGACAGGCTCAGCACAGTAACAGAACACAGGAGAGGCTCTCGAAACAAGCTAGGGAGCACTGAGCCCCGACCACACGCCAGGTGCGACTTCACGTGAGCTGCTTGCCGGAGCTGCAAGAATTCTACCCTCAGCACCTTCACTTCCCAGGGGAGGCAGCTGAGGCTCAGAGAGGTTAAGTAACGGGTCCAAGCTAGTGCCAGCAAGCGGCAGGACCAGGATCTGATCCCAGACCTCTGCCTCTGCCCTAGCCTCTGATCTCTATTCTTACCCTGTTTGGTTTCAGACAAATCCAGTGCTTCAAGTCATGAGAAGAACGAATTTTTCCTCACTGAACCTGAAGGCCTAGAAGGGACCCCATCCTGCTGCTTAAGGGGCCAGAAGATGGCAGAGAAGCAACTGTCTTCCTACCTGTCCAGCTGGTCATGGGAGGGCCTGCCCAGCTCACCGAACCAAGCGGCAGGAGCAAAGATGCCGGAGCCAGACGGCGCCCAGCGGCCACCCGCGAGCAGAGGCCGAGGCCCTGCAGGTGGAGCGCTGCACCAGGGTCCAGCCCTGGCGGTCGCAGCTTCTTCCAGGCAGCCCGCAAAGGCAGAGTGCCTCCAGTGCTCTCCCAAGAAAGCGTCACTCTGGGAGCTGTGACGGCCCACAGACGGCTACTCGGTGACACCAGGCAGGGTGGGAGCCTGAAGAGTGAGACCGCGACGATTTGAAAACCAGCTCTTCAGAACTCACACCCTTAAGGAGGACGTGTTTGGCTGCCACCGTGTCTTCTGTTAAATCAGTCACCTGGCTGGAACACCTGAGAGCTCCAATTACTCCTTTAGCACAGGTGGCGTCTGAGACACCCCCAGGAAAGACCGGGTCTCGGCGCTGAAAGGTAAACTTCCTTTTTCGGTTCAGAGCGAAAATGTGACTCCCCTCCGCCCTCCCCTGCTGGAGACATTCCCAGCGTTTTATTTACTCGGCAGCACTGACCGGACTCTTAAATGTCAGAGCCGGCCTGGAGGGGGCGGGGCCCCCAGGTCTTCCCGCTGCTCCTCCAAGAGCCGCTGAGCCGAGCCGAGCCGAGCGGAGCCGAGCCGAGCCGGAGCTGCCGACGCACAGGAGAGCGAGTGGAAGCCGGCCCCGCCCCGTCCTGAGTGCCCTGCTTTTTAAAAAAGAATACTCTGCCGCGCAAGGTGGGAAACTTCCACCACTGGCTCTGGCCGCCGCCATCACGTCGCTGAGGCCCGCGCGGGCGGCTGCGCGTCTGGGCAGCTCGGCCTTTCCCCGC